ACAACATTATCATCATACAACATTATCATCATACAACATTATCATCATGCAACATTATCATCATACAGCATTATCATCATGCAACATTACCATCATGCAACATTATCATCATTCAACATTATCATCATGCAACATATCTTTCGCCCAGAATTGATCTATGTTATCTCACTAAGCTGGATCAAATTATTGGTTTCAAAGGGACGGCGAGGACCCAGGCTCCCTTCCTTGAGTAAACCTGAATTCGAGACATTTTCAAGAATATTTTTAAATTCCTAATCTATACTTCTAGACCGTTTATAAGGTCACGAAACAGCTGTGCGGTAGCTACACTAGCCAATGACCTCCAGTTAAAGACGGCTCTACATTGACCACCGAGCGTGAACAAGCAGCCAGATGAGTTCAGTACTTCCAGGAAGTTCTTAACCAACCTGAACCAGAGGAGCCAGCACACCCCTTACCACCGCAAGACATTATTAACATCGATACAGGCCCGCCTACTGCTTTAGAGGTTAGAGAAGCCGTTAGAACCATGAAGAATGGCAAAACACCCGGAATAGACTCCATCCATGCCGAGATGCTTCAAGCTGACCTTGACACCACCACAACTGTGCTACTTGACCTCTTTAGCAAGATTTGGGACTCAAACGTYATCCCACGAGACTGGGCGAGAGGTCTCATTATTAAACTCCCATAGAAAGGCAACCTGCAAAACTGTGACAACTGGCGTGATATAACTCTTCTTCAGCGTATTGATTCAGTCATTGACAGCAGTCTGAGACAAGAACAGGCTGGATTCTGCAAAGGATGAGGATGTATAGATCAGATCTTCACACTGAGAAACATCATCGAGCAGTGTCTGGAATGGAATGCCCCACTGTACATCAACTTTATAGACTTTAGGAAGGCATTTGATAGTGTACACCGGGAGACTCTTTGGAAGATCTTGGAGTCGCATGGGATCCCTAACAAGATCATCACACTTATCAACCTGTTCTACAGCAATTTTGAGTGCAGTGTTATCACTAGCAGCAATAACACCTCAGAACCATTTCCAGTGAATTCTGGCGTTTGACAAGGATGCATCCTCTCACCCATGTTATTCTTAGTGGCTGTCGACTGGATTATGCGACAAACAACATCAGACTAGACCAGAGGGATACAATGGACTCTTTTCTCCCACTTCGAAGATTTAGATTTTGCCGACGATCTGGCAGTCCTCTCTTCAAGGAGTGATCACYTGCAGGAGAAAACCGATAGATTAGAACAATTTTCCAGCCAAGCTGGGCTTCACATCAATACCACCAAGACCAAAGTCATGCCGATTAACCTGAAGAACCCTTTGCCTTTGCCTATAACCATTCAGGGTAAAGTGCTTGAGTCCGTGAAGGAATTTACCTACTTAGGCAGCCTCATAAGCAAGGATAATGGAGCCAGAAAAGACATCCAATCAAGGCTAGGTAAGGCACGTGGAGCCTTTGCACGACTTAATCCCATCTGGAAGTCCAAGCAGTATAGCTTAAAGACCAAGCTACGATTGTACAACAGCAACGAAATCAGTTCTTCTTTATGGATCTGAGTGCTGGCGCGTTGTAAAGGCAGACATGGACAAGATCAGTGCCTTCCATAACGGATGTCTGCGAAAGATATGCCGTATCTTTTGGCCCCAGAAAATATCCAACGAAGATCTCTACTGTAAAACGGGATCAAATAACATCATCCAAGAGATTAAACGCCGCCGTCTAAAGTGGCTGGGTCATGTCCTCAGGATGGAACAGGAACGTATCCCAAAAACATCAACTTTTTGGACTCCTGTTGGGAAGCGTAAGTCTGGACGTCCTAAAACAACTTGGCGAAGAACCGTCCAGGCTGAGTTGCTGGAGATGGGACTGACTTGGGGCGAGGCTTTGAAAGTTGCAAAGGACCGCCAAGAGTGGCGTCACCGTGTCGCGGCCCTATTTCCCACT